CCACATTTAGCTGCTCAGTGTTGGACAAGCCACCTAACTTCTCTTAGTTTTAGTCTCCTCACTTGTAAAATAAGGAATACGCCCTGGCTGGCATAGCTCAGTGGATTGAGCACGGGCTGCGAACCAAAGCATCGCAGGTTCGATTCCCAGCCAGGGCACATACCTGGGTTGCAGGCCACAGTCCCCAGCAACCACACATGGATGTCTCTCTCTCTCTCTCTCTTTCTCCCTCCCTTCCCTCTCTAAAAATAAATAAATAAATCTTTTTAAAAAATAAGGAATACAATAGTACCTACCTTATTAACTTAGATCACTCCATAGTGCCCCAGGACACCTTGATCTCAAAAAAGGGGGGTCCTGGTAGCAGGGGGAGAGGAACAAACTGAACAGAGCAAGCTGTAGCCAAGACACTGGTTAGTGATATACCCTGCATGTGCCTGTAAAAGTCTCACCATAGTGTCTGCACACTGAAGCCTGCTTAGTGTTGCTTAGTTATTGTTGCAATGGTTAAATCACTTGCCCACCTATCTCTAGCTGATTAGTGGTCCTAACCTGTGTGACCATTAAAAGCACATTCCAGCCCTATGTTTCTCAACACTTTTTGTTCATTACCTTTCAAGTCATTATTTCTCCTAATTGCCTGCCCATGAAATTTTAATACTACAGATGTATTGTAATTCTGTTCATGATGATTCATTTCATGTGTTGACTTGGCCAGGCTATGGATTGCCAGAGTTGCAAACCCTACCTCTGACATAAAAACTCCGAGATGAATGGGTTATAGACTCTGGGTGGGAAGTTCTTGGATGAGCAAGACTGTGACACATGGTCTCTTGGGGCCTCTTTCTCAGTCCTGCTTTTCCAGACAGGATGAGACATCTTCCCTGAGAGCTGTCCCAGGACTTTCGGACCCCACATGGAAACCTGCTTGCCTGCTTCTCATTCCCCACACCCTAGTCTTCCTTCAAATTCTTAGCCCACACTCTCTCTAGTCCTCCACATTAAACCTCCTAATTTCCTCTCTTCCTCTCACAATCCTCTTTAAGACATTTTAAAACCAGAGCTCAAGTGATTCACAACCACAGACTATTTTCCCCTTATTAGAGGGCAAGAAGGATCCAGGCATCAAATCCTCCTTAGAAATAAGGCAGAATGTTTGGTTTCCATTCTAAGAGGTAGATGTGCCTCATGTCCTAGATTAGGTTGGATCATGTTAAAGCAGTCGTCATTACATTTCTGAATTAAAATTGGTTGAATAGCCATATCATGCTATATTCTTCATTTCAATTAATCTCTACAACAACCAGATGAGATTGGTCCTATCACCAGCAACATTTTAAAGATAAGGCAACTCAGGCACAGAGAGGTTAAGTAACTTGCATGAGGTCACACAGCTAGTAGGCAGCCAAGCTGAGAGCCTAAACCATTCAACCACAGTCACAAACTCTAAGAGGCTCCATGGGGCCTCCTTCCCTGGCCTTAGGGGGGAGTTAATCCCATGAAGTGTTCACTCTTAAGCCTTTCTCCAGCCTCTGGATTTAGTAGGCATTTCCTGTATATATATATATATGAATGAAAGATCAAAGTTGCTAAGAGAAATTACAGTAGCCTATCTATGGCAGCCAAGCTAAGGGTAACTGAGGTGTGCTGGGGTCTATCTCAGGTCAGGAGGAAAATAATGCTCAGTCTCACTCTCCGCACAAAGCCAAAGGCCGAAAGATGAAAGCCTGCCCTGTTTCCTCCTGGGCAAAACTGAAACTTGCAAAGCGACTGGAGGGGAGATGGTTCTGGTGATCAGAATATCAAAAAAAGAAGGAAAGGTTTGGAGAATTATTGTGACAGTGACAAAAAAAAGCATCCCTTCACTTTAAGCTGAATATGTTTCCCTGTGGACTAAACTAAAATGTCTAGGCACAGTCTGTTAGAATCTGCAAGAGTCTGCTTCTTCAGACACTAACTTTTGACATTAAGTATTACCCACCACACAGATATTAAATTTAGAATTCACCAGGTAATATTTTTTAGTGATGGCGAAGTATTTATATAGTACTTGGGAAATTTTTCCTTTTGTTGTTATATATAAGCAATATAAGTTCATTGGAACAAAGTCAAACAGAACAGAAGGGAATGAACTAAAATATTAAGGCCATACCCTGATGCTGACCATTCATTTCAACTTCCCAGAAACAATTGCTTTTTTTAGTAGCATTTCCATGCAGACACAAGAAAGAATTGTTTTTTTACTGATGTTTCTAGACAAATGGAGGGATACTATGCATTATGATTTTGGAAAAGCTTTTCTTAGTATATAATAGCATATATTGTATATCTTGCCATATACAGCTTTTAATAGTTGTATGATACCCCACTTATTAGGGAAGACTGAAGAAAATTTGACTAGTGTCCTAGTAATGAACATTTAGGAGAAATACCTGAGAAATAATGAGTTCGCAAAATATATCATGAATAAACATCTTTGTACACAAGTTCCCTACTAGAATATAAATCCTATGGGAGCAAAAATTGTGCTTGCTTTGCTTGCTGATGAACCCTCAGCACTTAACAGGCCCTGACACATAGCGGATGCCCAATAAACATCTGTAGGGTGACTATATCTTTGTGTGCATATGTGCCTATACAGATACTTGAAATTTCTATATATATGTACATATATATATGACCAATCATCCTCCAAAATTGTTGCTGCATTATATATTCCCATTTCTGTGTTTTGCTTTGCTTTGTTTTGTTTTGTTTCAATCAGCTAGGGACATCATTTTTAGAGCTCAGTGTAGTAGAAATAGTAAATGCTTGTGTATTAGTTTCCTCCTGCTGTTGTGACAAGTTGCCACAAAGTTAGTGACTTAAAACAACAGAGATTTATTATCTTTTGGGTCTGGAGGTCAGAAGTCCAAAATGGGTTGGTAGGACTGTGTTGCCTCTGGAGGGTTTCAGGGAAAACACTTCCTTGCTTTTTCCAGCTTCCAAAGTCTGCATTCCTTGGTTTGTGGTGCCTTCCATATCATTCCAACCTCTGCTTCCACTGTCACATCTCCTTCTCTACTCTGACCCTCTTGTGCCCCTCCTTCCCTTCTTATTACCTTGAGCCCATCTTGATAATCCAAGGTAATCTCCCCATCTTAAAATCTCTGTCTTAATCACATCTGCAAAGTCCTATTTGCCACATAAGGGATCTATTCATAAATTCCAGAGATTAGGATGTGGATGTCTTCGGAGAGCCATTATTCTGCATACCACATCTTGGGAATCAGGTCTGAATCTCAGCACTGTCGCTTCAACTGTGTACCCCAACTACGTGTTGAGTCTCTAATCACCACATCCTGAACTAAATCTAGGAAGTACACTAACTAGCTCAGTGGTCTTACCCCAGTTACATATCCTCCTGAGCCTTTTTTTTTTCCTTACTTGTATAACTGGAGAGATTAATAGCTGTCTCATAGAAAATGCTGTATGTACAATGTCTACAGACATCCCTTTCCATTTAACCAGCCTTCATAAATTATGATGTGCTGTTTTAATCTTGACAAAATGTAAGTAAAATATTGGATTAAGTAGTAATTAGGTAGAGAAACAGATGCTCTTGTAAACTGCTGATGTGAATGTAAATTGGTACAGGCTTTCTAGAGGGCAATGTGGCACTGTGAATGTAATGAAAAGCCTTATAAATGGTTTTTTTCTCTCTTTATTCCAGTAATTATCCATTTCTAAAGTGTATCTTAGGAGTATGGTTGAATTTGTGTACAAAGATGTTCAGTGAAATATTATCTATAATATTGGGTTAGGAAGAATGGAAACTGTCAGCCCTGAGAAACAAGATAACTACTAAGAGGAGTTTAGCACGTGACTCAGTGGGCTCAAATTTAAAAAGAGAGCCTAATGGCCCTTCCTAAACGCACTGAAGACCATTGGTCTAAATGTTCACTAATAAGGGATTAGGTAAATAACTACCATACATCTCATTACAGAATCTCACCATATGAAAGGATTTTGTGAAAGTATGTTAAACACCACATTCAGAGGTTTGTCAAATGTTAGTGACAAACTCGGGGTTTAAAACAGTGTTACTTATTAGCTCATATTAGAAAGAGTCTGTGTGGTGAGAGGGTGTGTATATACCTGTATATATACTAAAAATATAGATTTCATGTTACAGTGGATATTTTAAGGTAATGGAATAACAAGTGACTTTTATTTTGGCTTACATCTAATTTTTTTCCTAACAATAAAGGTTAGAGAAAGGGATTTCTACACAGAACAATTTCTCTCGGACTAAAAGGCATTTCTAGACATAGAACAAATACTACCAATACTACCGAAGGTGTCCCTCTAGTGGAAGGTAGGACAGGGCTGCTGCGGCACACATGGTTGACACTATTTTAAATAGTTTATTATATTAAAGACCTTCCGAGAGAAACAAAAGCCTTGAAATTAGTAAATTATTCTGCTTACTCAAAACTTTTTCGTTCTAAGTGCACTTGGAAGATTGATAATCACTTTTTCAACTGTCAAGGTCGGGGAACTAAGCTCCTTGGAGTTCATTCTGCTGTTCTATTTTTTTCGTACCGTGTGTTCTAGGTCCAGGTCTAGGACGCCTGACTCTCAAACCCAAGGTACCAGACATTGTGAGTAACTAACGGCTCGGGAGTGGAGCCTGAGGCAAGTACACGACACCAGTTGCGAGCTCTAGCACCTCCGGGTGATTCTACGACTCTTCGGTTCCACTCGGCTCTTCTTCCACTGAGTTCGGTCAGCACTCGGGTTCTCGGGCTCGTCTCTCTTCGGCTACGTTCGGGAAATTCTCGTCTCGGCCTCGGTTCCTCTTCGGCTTCGTTCGGCCACCGTTGGTCTTGGGCTCAGCTGTCTTCGGCTTCCTTCGGGCGACGCTCGTCTCGGCTTCGGCTCCTTTTCGGCCTTTTCGGCCGAGCTCGGATGACTCTCGTCCTCTCGGGCTCGGCTCCCTTCGCCAGCGTTCGGCCACGGCCCGGAAAAGCGCCCATGAAACCCGGACCGTCAGCTCGACTGACGGCTATGGCGCCGCTGTTGGAATACGAGCGGCAGCTGGTGCTGGAACTACTCGAAGCGGATGGACTGGTGGTGTGCGCCCGCGGACTCGGCGCGGACAGGCTCCTGTACCACTTCCTCCGGCTGCACTGCCATCCTGCATGCCTGGTCCTGGTGCTCAGCACACAGCCGGCCGAGGAGGTGCGGCAGCCGGCCCGGGTTGGGTGCTTCCCAGGAGCGTTGGGGGCCTCTGGGGCGGACGCAGGCCCCAGAGCAAGTGCGAGGCCTCTGAGGATGGTGCAGGTCCCGGACGCTGGTGGGAAGGCACTAAATAAGGGTCCTCGAGGCGGGCGCAGGGCCCTGACACGGATGCGAGAGGACCGGAGAGGGAAGTAGATCCCTGACCTAGGACAGTGAGAATTGTGGAGGGGCTCTGAGAGGAGTAGGGTAGTTATTTGAGGAGGGTGGGGTGGAGAGAAGAACTGGAGGCTCCTGAAGGAGAGAGAGATGTCTGTAAGAGGACAGGAATAATGAAGGAATCCCAAAGTTGGATATTCAAAGAGCTTGCTGGGGTCAAAGGAGTGGAATCCGTGATGAAAGGGATGGGGATGGCGGAATCTCTGAGGGTAATAGGGAGACGTGAAAGATGCTGAGGCTGGGGAGAACCTTGTAGGGAAGAGGAGAGACTCGGAGGGTTTCTCAGAGCTGTGGAAGGAGGGCTCAGGATCAGAGGGGAAGGGAGCTGGAAGCGGAGGATGTTGAGGAAGGGTACCTGGGGGTTACGGTGAGGGATATATCTGTGCTGGGGGTGTTGAGAGGTGATACAACCTGGTCTGACAAGTCTAGTGAGCCTGGAGGAAAATGTCAGGTGAAAAGAGTGACTACAGTCTCTTTGAGGGCAGGGATCCCGTTCCATTCATCTAGGTATCTCCAGTGCTTGTCATAAGTTTAGCACAACACAGCTCCCCGGCCCCTCACCCTCCTAGAAAGGTAGTAATGAGCTGAAAGTGTAAGGGCCAAGGGCCCATTGACATGATGAAATTCCCTCTAGGATGGATCTTGACAGCGCTAATAGTCAGAACATTAGCTGGGAAAAGGAGCTCCTGGATATCTCCTCAAGCAGTGCAAACCTGGCTTTGGTGGGAACTAGTTTCTAAGCAGCAGAAGTGTTTTAACCCAGGGTTTAAAAGGCTTTTTTTTATTGTTGTTAAAACGCTGATAACAGGTGCAGTGATTCCTTAGTGTAAACCCCAAAACAAAAGCAAGAAAACCCTAGTTTGAATGTAGACTGGCTGATTGATCAACATAAAGTAGTAACTTAGTTTGTATATTCATTAGTAAGTTTGTTATCTCTGAGAAAGGCAGCATATCACTTTAAATACAAATACCTGCAACCTAATCAAAACTGCCCGCTGTTTTAAACAGCCTACTAATCATTTCATTTCATTTAGGAGTATTTTATCAATCAGCTGAAGATAGAAGGAGTGGAACACCTCCCTCACCGTGTAACAAATGAAATCACAAGCAACAGTCGCTATGAGGTTTACACACAAGGAGGTGTGATATTTGCAACAAGTCGAATACTTGTGGTTGATTTCTTGACTGATAGAATACCTTCAGATTTAATTACTGGTAAGAATTTAAAACCTTATTGTATGTAAATTTGCACCTTTTGCTTTTAGTCTGTTCCCTCTGCTCAACTCTAAGCTAGAACCTTCTTATGAGTTGCACTGGTCTTTTTAACCATTAGCACAATGTCGGACACATTATATATTCTCAGTATATATATATATATATATATTATATATAATATATACATATTCTCAGTATATTCTAGTATATATATATATATAATATATATATATATATATATATATATATATTTGTGGCCTGAGTAAGGAAAGAAATGTAAGATTGATTTTCCTTGGTTTCTAAGCTCATATTTAGTAAATACATGGTAATTGAGTAGCATTTACTTTTAGAACATAATTGGACTTGAATGTTTGTAAACATTCTTTATATATTTTCTAAAATATTTGGTTTTCCTCTTTAAAGAATGTATTTCCTATGATGTGAATTAAACCAAATAGTTGCTTAATTATTTTGAGAAGGGTTGTTTAATTTTAGCTATAATTAACACAGAAAAGGAATTTTTTATTACTATTTGTTTCTGTGGAAACCTTTTCTGATTTCCCCAAAGCTGGTTTAGAGGCCCCAGCTCTTAGCCCTCAGGTTACCCTGTGCTCCTCATAGCACCCAGACAGCCACCCAACATTTGCGTCTGTCTGTCTCGTTCATGAGATTACAAGCTTTGTAGGCACAGGGGCAACTTGTTCATCCCAGGCTAAGTAACTGGTACATAGTAGGTAATAAACACGTATTTGTTGGATGAGTGATGCAGGGATGTACTGTGATCAGTAGTGAATTTCTGGAGGGCAGAGAGACAGGCAATTCGTAATTGTACATCCCACTTTGTCTATCTTATGGCCCTGAACCTAGGAGACCCTCAAAAATAATTCATGAATAAACATATAAATGAATTCTTTATATGGTTCATGGTGAACCATACATATAAAGGAAAAGTTTTGTTGTACTTTTATATAACATTTATAATTGTTATAAGCTGGGGCACAGACCGTGTGGTCATGGATCACTTGACTGCGTGGTAATGACACTGCTTACGAGCAAGTTACTTAACTTTTCATTAGTTTTTTTATAAGCCCGTTTTCTTATTTCTTAAATCAAGAAAAATAGTGCATCCTAGAGTTTCTGTAAGAATTAAGTGAGATAAAATAAATTGCTTCGTATTAGTTCTGGATACATAGTAAACACTTAATCAGTAGTAGCAAAAAAAAGATACTGACTTTTTGTAATCAAATCTTGGGGCATCGTAAAGTCTTGTACTGTTTGCTGCTTTCTGATAGGTTTTGTTCTTTACTTTTTAAGTTGATGAAGTGGAAAAATATGCATTGAAACTACCACTAGATGTCAGTATTGCTCTCTCAGTAATCGTTCAACCTACTTAGGCATGGCGCAATCTGAGTTTAATAAGTGTTCGAAAGAGAATTTATAGGTAGTTTCTAATTAAAAGCTACTTTCTGTATAACTCAGTTAACTCATCTGTAAATTGGAGACAGCAATATGACCTTCCTCCTAGGATTATTGTCAGGATTATTGAAATGAAATAACCTATGTAAAATTTTAGCATTGTGTGTGGCTCATAGTAAGTAAGCATTCTGTGATTACTGTGTTGTGATGTTCCAGTCCTCAGGCAGTGTCTTAGGGGAGGCTGATGCAAAGAAGTATTTACAAAATGTTACAGGAGCATAAAAAATTTCAGTAAGCTATTGTGGGACCAGAATTGCCCCAGAAATATGACCTGCTTGTTGTTTTTATTTTTATTTTTTAAAAGGGAGGCTCTTGGATGGTGTCACTTGGTAGGAAAAACCTGAGTTTGTTCCCAAACATGATTTGGAACCTTTGGTCTCCCGTTATGGGTTGGACGACCTTGATTAAGTTGCTTTCCTTTCCTGGTCTCATAATAATAATGCCTACCCCATAGAATTATTGTGAGGGTTAAACAAAATAAAACTCTGTAAAAGCACCTCACCCCACGGCTTCAGGTGTAGTATTAGTTCTTTTCTCCTTCCTTCTTCTGAGTTCCTAAAGAATGATAGCCTTTTGGAACACAACATTTTCTTAAATTGAAGTTCACCTTTTCTTTAGAAGTTATTTTTATTATTTTTCATTTTATGAATATTTCAATCCAGGTCAGCAACCATGGCCCAGGAGAGTACTTAGAAAAACCCACCTACTATGTACCGAATCTTTTCTTTTTTATCTTTATTGTATTTTTTTCCATTACCATTTAATCCCTTTATACCCCACTCTGCCCCAGCGATCACCACACTGTTGTCCATGTCCATGAGTCCTTTCTCCTTTTTGCTCAGTCCCTCCAAATGTACATGTACTGGAGTAATTGAAAATCCTTTGTCTTTAAATTCCTGAATAGTACTCTTAATTTTTACCTTAATTTAAAAAAACTATTTGCTTAGGTAGAATACATATTAGCTCCACCTACCTTGATCCAAAATTTAAACATCAAAATAATAGAATCTGAACTGAGTTTATTGACCTGCTGGAAGGGGTTGTTAATTACTGTTGGTGTCACTTTCCAGACCCTAGGAGTGACAACTGGAGCAAAAACATTCAAGCACATTTATAGCAAATGGACATAAGTTACTGGCTGGATTTACATCTAAAAGACTGAGAATCATCATATAATTGAGTTTTGGATCCAGAAATGTCTGTGCACTCTTATGTCATCTTATATCTCTCCTAATTTATCACTCACAATCAGACCACATCAAAATTCTGTACATTCAGGAGATCATGTGGTCCAGTACTCATTTTATAAATAAGGAAAAATGTATAATTGTTCTTGTTTTTGTGATTCAGAGGTGTCATCTCCACACCCACATGAAAAAAACCTTATGTATTAAACATTAATGGTTTTTATTTTAAATGGAGTGATTTACCACTCAATTGAATATTCTGATTCTGAAAATAGAGTTATTCTAATAGGATATAATGTGATAAAATATTCTAATAGGATAAAATATGTCTAGTAGGATATAATGTGATACACTTGTTGCCCAAAATTGGAAAATGCAATGATTTTGTGTCATCCCCATCTGATTCACATACAAAAGGAGAATTAGTGACCCACTTAGCTTTCAGAAATCCTTTCTCCACTGTGCTAGACACACCCCAACCCAGGGCCTTTGCTCCTGTCATTCCCTCTGCCTGGAACTCTCTTGGTCCACCTGGCCTCAAGGTTCATCTGTTCTCCATCCAGCCTTTACTCACACAACCTTAGTGAGGCCACCCTGTCCAAAATTGCAAACCACCACCCTTCACACATACTGCCTCTCCCTCTTTGATGTATTTTTTCTCCCCAGCTCTTATCACCTTATAGCCTACTGAATATTTTACTCACTTACATTGTTAATGTAAGTGCCACAAGGACAGGAATTTGCTTGTTTTCTTTGAGGTTATGTATCCCCAGCCTAGAACAGCGTTTGCCCAGACTCAAGTAGGCACTCAAGAAAAATGTGATGAATGAGTGAATGAAAATGAGCCTGAAAATTACATGTCTATTCTGAATTGAAATTATAATTTCTCCCCTCAGGCATCTTGGTTTATAGGGCTCACAGAATAATCGAGTCCTGTCAAGAAGCATTCATTTTGCGCCTCTTTCGCCAGAAAAACAAACGTGGTTTTATTAAAGCTTTCACAGACAATGCTGTTGCCTTTGATACTGGTTTTTGTCATGTGGAAAGAGTGATGAGAAATCTTTTTGTAAAGAAGCTGTATCTGTGGCCAAGGTAAATAGCACTATGTGATCAATTTCTGAGAGAGAATCTGCTGTCATTTAATTTTGCACTTTAATGTAAAATTTACTGTAATTGGACTTGATACATGCTAGTCAGGTTCATAGCAAGTATATTCAAATAGAAATACTGTCTGGTCACCACATTTGTGATTCTTTTATTTATTTATTTATTTTTATTTCTTCTCTTAAAGATTTTATTTACTTTTTATAGAGGGGGAAGGGAAGGAGAAGGAGAGTAAGAGAAACATCAGTGTGTGGTTGCCTCTTGTGCACCCACTACTGGGGACCTGGCCCGCAACCCAGGCATGTGCCCTGAGTGGGAATCGAACCAGTGACCCTTTGGTTTTCAGACTGGTGCTCAATCCACTGAACCATACCAGCCAGGGCACATTTGTGATTCTTCTAAAAGGAGAAAGAGATTTTAAAGTTATTTTTCTGGTAGTACATCAATCCATCCCAGTGCAGCCACATCATCCTTTCTTTTTCATGTAGTACGACCCCCAAAGATTTACCTAGAGAACAGGTGGCCCAGATCTGGCCCTCCACCTTGTTTCTACCCAGCGGCAGCACCAAGCTCCTTGCCCCTAGTTAAGTAGTTACATTTATATAGTCCTAAAATTACATTTGGCCCTTTGAAGGCAACCGTGAGGCTGATGTGGCCCCCAGTGAAAATGAGTTTGTCATCCCCTGACCTAGAGACTCACATACACTGCAGTGGTAGTTGAACTACAGATTTATTGGTGAAGACACCCACTTCCACTTTCAAAATTACCCATCGGGGAAATAATGCCCAAAGATTTTTTTTAAGATTTTGTTTATTGATTTTTAGAGAGAGGGGAAGGGAAGGAGAAAGAGAGGGAGAGAAACATCAGTGTGTGGTTGCCTCTTGCATACCCCCTACTAGGGATCTGGCCCATAACCCAGGCATATACCCTAACTGGGAATTGAACCTGTGACCCTTTCATTCTCAGGCTGGCACTCAACCACTGAGTCATACCAGCCAGGGTGCCCAAAGATTTTGAAGAATTTTCATAAATTTCTAGGAAAAACTGAAGGTTTCAATTTTCAAACATTTTGCCACCTATGCTAAATAGGTATTTTGGTTATATTATATGGTATTTAAGAGTAGCTGTTGCCCTGGCCAGGTGGCTCTGATGTTTGGAGCATCGTCCCATGCACCAAAAGGTTGTGGGTTCTATCCCCAGTCAGGGCTTATGCCTAGGATGTGGGTTCGATCCCCAGTTGGGGGTGAGTACAGAAGGCACCTGATTGATGTTTCTCTCTCACGTCAGTGTGTGTGTGTGTCTCTCTCCCCTCTCTTCCTCTCTCCTTAAAATCAATAAACATATCCTCAGTTGAGGATTTTTTAAAAAGTAGTTGTTGTAGTCTGTTTCTTGATTATGCCCTCCTTTGGGAATCAACAAACTTTTCCTGGAAGAGGCCAGACTGTAAAGATTTAGGCTCTGCAGTCTATGTGGCCTGTTAGTCACTCAGCTCTGCTGCCCTAGTGTAACAGCACCCGTGGACAACACATGGACAGCAGGCACAGCTGTGTTCCAGTATCTGTAAAAATAAGTCCTGGATTTAGCCCAGACCATAGTTTGCAGACCTCTGCCTTATTGGAATAGTTTCCATTCACTGAGGTTAAAAGTATTTCTAAAAACATTGCCATTTTTCTATTTTGTTTCTCAATTGCATTTACAAAAAAAAAAAATTAGACTATGAAACCAAGACCAGAAATACATAACTGCTAAAACTCTAGAAAATGTTTGAAAAATATTTGTCTCTTTAGGTTTCACGTAGCAGTAAACTCATTTCTAGAGCAGCACAAGCCTGAAGTGGTGGAGATTCATGTCTCTATGACGCCGGCCATGCTGGCCATGCAGACCGCTATCCTGGACATTTTAAACGCGTGCCTGAAGGAACTGAAATGCCATAACCCTTCCCTTGAAGTTGAAGATTTATCTTTAGAAAATGCTATTGGAAAAGCCTTTGACAAGGTACTCTATTTCTTTTCCTTTTTAAGCACAGTTTGTTATAATTTTAAAGAATGCAAGCTATTTTAATATTTGCAGTGTTCTTAATAGGAATTTGCTGTTGTTTATAATTAAATTGGAGGTGATTTAAAGTATAGATAACTTCTTTGAGTTTACTGGAAGTAATCATTTGTAGTAAAATATGTGGATTGGCATATAAGCACAAGTCTCCTTTTTGCAATGATTTCCCTCATTTTAAGTATGACTAGGAAGAGGATAAACAACATTTTTGCTCTTAAATGACAGCATTTGGATAGCTACAGGTAGAAGAGTTTTATTTACATAAGAATGCTTCAGAATTGATGGTCTCCTGTTAAAACAATTAAAAAAAGTAAATATAATTTGGATTAGTTTTCGTGAATGAGGAATGTGAAATGTATTCTGTCTTAAAATTACATTCTGAATTGAGAAAATAATTCAAGGAATTTTTATTCGAATTTTTTATCATAGATTAATATTAATGCAGAGAGGTAAATGTCTAAGACTTGAACTACAGATTCAGAAAATGCTGACCTTTTAAGAATTCCAGACAGCTTTTTAAAAAAATATTTTGGTAGACTAAGTTACTGGATTTAAAACTTTAAATTAACCTCTCTGTCACTGGAAATAATTGTAAGAAAGAAAAAACTTATTTAGTTTATCAGGTCTTTTATCTTCTGACTAATATGTAAGTATGGATAATTATTCACTCTATCTGATCATAAAGATTCTACTGATAAAGAACTCTGCATTATATTTGAAAAATTAAACAATATTTTTAGAATCTCATGACCTGAAATTTTCTATCTACTTCCTGGGAAGATAATATTTTGGATCTTTTTAGTTGTGATAAAATATACATAACCAAAATGTCATTTTAAGCATTTTTAGGTATCTTGGAATGCTTATCGAAACTACAATCTGTATTAATAATAGCTATATTGAACATATTTTAGCATTACTACATTTTATTCTTATTGTAGACAATCCGCCATTATCTGGATCCTTTGTGGCACCAGCTTGGAGCCAAGACTAAATCCTTGGTTCAGGATTTGAAGATATTACGAACTTTACTGCAATATCTCTGTCAGTATGATTGTATTACATTTCTGAATCTTCTAGAATCTCTGAGAGCAACAGAGAAGGCTTTTGGTCAAAATTCAGGTGAGAAATAAAAATATTAATATTATCCTAGGACCTGATTTGAATGTAGTTCTGGGTTTTGAGGAATCAGTGTGGGGAGTGCAGTATTCACCTACATGGTATACTAAGGTTTCAAATTACATCTTCCTAGCACAAGGATGTAGGTTGTATTGATAGCTAATGTTTCCACCTACTTAACTTCTGTGCTATATAACAATAAATATTCATACCCATTCTGGGCAATTTTATTTATAGAAAAGGTTGTGTATCATACAGGCAGTCCCCAGCCTAATAGCTTGCATTCTGGAAGTTTAGTTGTTGAGAATTTAAAATTCATTTTTCTTGCAAAAACAGTAAGGCAGTCCAGGGTTTCATCAGCTAGAGTGCTGACGACCAAAAACGAGAGATTTGTAAAGAAACATACGCGTGTGACTGGCCACTCTCTTGCTTTTCCATCAGTCACATCCACCCCACACTGTTGTGGCCTCTGTCCCTGTTTGGCTAGACCAGTGGTTTTCAAAGTGTGGTCCGTGGCCCCTGAGGCCAAGATTTAATAGAAGTAATAATTTTTACTGCTTCCTCAGAGACACCGTTGAGCGATAAACTGCAAACGCATTGAAATGAAAACCATGCCGACTGCTAGGACACTTTGGCTCCACTGCCTTGATTGTGCTCGGGCACCAGCAGTGTTACTGACTCAAGCTTTTGCACAACAGGGAATGTCAGCACAGGGGAACCAAGTCAAGTAACGGCTTGTATGATTACAGGGCTAGTTGTATTATTAGGAGAATAATCCCCCTGAAACTATGCTGGGGACCCCCAGGGGCCTGTGGCTCAGGCTACACTTTGAAAACTGACAGTCTGACTGAACAGAGACGGAGGTCACGGTCAGGAAGAAGGTGGGCCTCAGAGAAGAACAAGATGGTGGCCGATGTACGCACAGGTCATATGGTCATCCAAGATTCTTTAAAATTAACTTTAAGTTGAAGGGTTTTTTTTTAACTCTTTATATTAGGTTGGCTATTTCTTGACTCCAGTACCTCGCTGTTTGTGAATGCTCGAGCAAGGGTTTATCGCATTCCAGATGCTAAAATGAGTAAAAAAGGCAAAGTGTCCGGAAAAGTGGAGATTAAAGAAGAACAAGGTATCTCATAGGCTTAAATCTTTAAATGTCTCTTTATTGAAGTATTTGGTGTGGAATTGTTTGTCAAGTTACGCTATACTTTTAAATCTCTTTTTGGCCATGTAAGAAATGTGTGACTGTGTGTTCAGTGTAGGTTACATGTAACATATGTAATGTGTGTTAAAAGTGTTCGACATGGCAAGTCTTAGAATTCACCGCCAGGGAGTTCCAAATAACAAATGCCAAGAACCAACCAAGTGTATTCTTACTGCTACATAAGAACTATAGATTTTTTTTTTAACTTCAGAGTAATTACGGTACTGCTTGAGGCACTTAAAGTCTTAGGGGAACATTTTAACTTCCCTTTAGTTTTTAGAGAACATAAATATGATAGAATGAGGCAAATATAGATTTTATTCCAACACTCATCTAGTAGGGAATTTCAGGGGAAAGGGGAAGGGTTTACAAGAACAAGTATAAAGGACACTTGGACAAAAACTAGGGGTGGGTAGAAATGGGAGGGAGGTGGGGAGGGCTGGGGGGTTGGGCTGGGATGGGAGTAAAAGGCAGAAAACTGTACTTGAACAACAATTAAAATTAAAAAGAAAAAAATGTAATTGTTTTTTTAAATTAAATGTATTAAGTTAATGTTGGTTAGTAACATACAAGTTTCAGGTGTACAATTCTATAGCACATCGTTTGTGTACTGCATTGTGTGCTCACCACCCAAAATTTAGTGTCCTTTTGTCACTATATATTTGACCCCCTTTACCGTCTCCATTCTCCCCCATTCCCCTCCCCCTCTGATAACCACCAGACTATTGTCTGTGTCTATGAGTTTGTTACTTCTGTTTGTTCATTTGTTGCTCCCTGTTCTATTTCCACATATGAGTGAAATCGTATGATTCTTGTCCTTTTCTTTCGGACTTATTTTACTTAGCATGATACTCTCAATCTACAGTATCAAACTAAAAAGCACAGCAAAAGAAACCATCAGCAAAACAAAAAGACAACCAAGAGAATGAGAGAAGATATTTGCAAATGATATCTTTGATAAGGGGCTAATATTCAAAATATGTAAAGAACTCATACAACTCAACAAGTATGTCATTGTATTTTTAAGGCACAGGATAAGGTTAATGCTTACTTTGTAGTTCAAGGCTCTATTTCAAAGCTTAATTAAATATATTATTAGTGACCATGAATACCACTTTCTATCAAGGCATTATGAAACCTGTGTTAATGTTGGCTTGAAGTGTCTTTGATTTAAACCACAAGGAGACCTTTTTCAGGGAAGCAGATCCTGTGCAGTATTAGGGAGGAAGCTCAAAGGAATGGGCATATGGAACAGTGCTTGTGTTTCTGTTGTTCGAAAGTCTCCGGAATACTTCATGGATAAATATTATCACAGAGAATGAGGTTATCTTTTATTTCTGTACAGAAACAAAGAAGGAGCTGGTCCTAGAAAGCAACCCTAAGTGGGAAGCACTGACCGAAGTCCTGAAAGAAATTGAGGCGGAAAATGCGGAGAGTGAAGCCCTTGGTGGTCCAGGTAGGAAAAAGGGAGATGAGAGATGAGGACATCTGCTTTCAAAATCAAACAAGTCAGTCTTTTCGGTTAGCCCTTTAAAAATAACTTACTATTTTGTTTATAAAATTGTAGAGGAATAAATGCCAAAGGAATGCTGAAATCCTAGCAGTAACCCTCTTTCTGTTCCTTCGGTATGACCTTCTCCAGGTAAAATCATTGTACATTCACAAAAGCAGGTTCTTTTACTGGTCTGGTTCTCAGGAATTCTATTTAAAGATACACCTGATCTCCACATTTATATTTACTAGGCCCAAAATCTGGAATACCCAAGGAGAAAACCAAAGTGTCTTGTTTTATTTTCTCAGGAAGTATTTTCCAGAGAAGCCTGAACTGTTGTATGGGCTGGCACAGACCTGGCCTTGCGAACACTCCAGACTTTAGGGCTGATGTCTTCAAACGTGAGCATGCTGGTTGGCTAGTGTAGACGAAATCTGAACTAAACTTAAAAACTAAAACCAAGTAGAAAATAAAAGAAAAACAGACTTTTAAATGCATCTGTTGAGTCTTTGAAACCGTGCAAAGCAATAAAGGCAAACACACAATGCTTATGTTAGTAAATATGCCAGTGATATGATCCCAGAACTGATGGTGCAGTGATTTAGGACCTGAAGTCATACGTGCTCACCTAGAAAAAGTATAAACAAAATAAAGATAACAGAAAAGGAAACAAATGATGTCTAGCAGCCACTATGAACTTCAGCATCTTTCCTTCCAGGTTTTCTTTCCCGTATCTTCTATTTTACATTGTTAAAGTCATGTATAGATATAATGTCTGGGTGTAGAATTGATGAGTCAAATGATATTAACATTTTTAAAGTTCTTGAGACATATTAACACAATGCTTTACAGAATGTTTTTAACAACTTTTTCTAGCAAGATAAGAAGAGCTTATTTATTTTTCACTTAGCTAACAATGACTAGAGAGTCCATCTGTGTGTGTGTACACATATATATGTGATAATTTTATAGCTTGATTAGAGAAAAATGTCATCTTGTTTTAAATTTTGATGTTAGACAAGCTCCGTACTTTCTCAAATGCATTTCTTCTTTTGTGAACTGTCTTAGTTTCCTTTGCCAACTTAGGCTATGCCCTTAATTTGTATGGGCTTTTTATATAGTAAAGATAATAACGTTTATCATTGTTGTGTAAAGTTTTTTTTGTCTTTAGAGTTTTTTTTTAATTATATTTCATTGATTAGGCTATTACAGTTGTCTTGATTTTTCTCCCTTTGCCCACCTCCATCCAGTGCCCCCTACTCCTGAAGGCAATCCCCCCACCATTGTTTGTGTCCATGGGTCACGCATATAAGTTCTTTGGCTACTCTGTTTCCTACACTGTACTTTACATCCTCATAACTATTCTGTAACTACCAATTTGTACTTAATCCCATCACCTCTTCACCCATTCTCCTCCTACCCCCTCCCATCTGGCAACCATTTGGTAACTAATTTCTTTTCTCTTGCTGCTTTAAGAGTCTCTATCTGTAACCTTTGGCATTTTAATTATGATGTGTCTTATTATGAGTGGGCCTCTTTGCATCCATCATAACTGGGACTCTCAGTGCTTCTTGAACTTGCATGTCTATTTTCTTCAGCAAATTAGAGAAGTTTTCTTTCACTTTTTTTTTCAGATAGATTCCCAATTTCTTGCTCTTTCTCTTTTCCTTCTGGCACCCCTGTGATGCAAATGGTAGACCTCTTGAAGTTGTCCCAGAGGCTATTTATACTATCCTCATTTTCTTGGATTCTTTTTTTCTTCTTACTGTTCTGCGTGGTTGTTTTTTCCTTCCTTATGTTCCAAATCTTTAATTTGATTCTCTGCTTCATCCACTCTACTGTTGTTTCCCTGTAAGTTGTTCTTTATTTCAATTAGTGTATCCTTTGTTTCTGACTCGGTCTTTTTCATGCTGCTAAGGTCCTCACTAAGTTCCTTGAGCATTCTTAGAAACAGTGTTTTGAACTCTGCATCTGATAAGATTGCTTATCTCCATTTTGTTTAGCTCTTTTTCTGGAGTTTTGATCTGTTCTTTCATTTGGGCTGTGTTTCTTTGTGTCCTTATTTTGGCAACCTCCCTGTGTTTGTTTCTGTGTATTAGGTAGAGATGCTTTGACTCTGTGTCTTGGTAGTACAGCCTAATGTAGTAGGTATCCTGTGGGGCCCAGTGGCACAGCCTCCCCTATTACCCAAGTTGAGTACCTGAGTTGCACTCTTCTTATGGGCTGAGTACACCCTCCTCTTGTAGTTGAATCTTGATTGCTGTTGGCAGATCAATGTGAGGGATTTACCCAGGCCAGCCAACTGCGAGGACTGGCTGTAACCACTGACCACTAACCTCCACCCTCTGTTGAGGATCAGCTGTGCAGGGGCAGTGTGGTGGTGCTCCAGTATGGTCTGTAACTGTCCACTGGTTGTGCTGGCGCTGGGGTTTCCCAGGTGGTACGGGTTAGGGTCGGCCCCCACCTGTGTTTTGCCTGAGGCACCCTGCATGAGCTATACTATAATCTGGGATGGCTGCTATTTGTGCTGGGCTTGGAGATTTTCAGGTGAAGCCACGCTGTGAATCCAATGTGGCTGCTGCGAGGGCTCACTGAAGTCAGCTGTTGCTTGTTTGATAGGATTTGGGAGCCAAAACCAGCCATTCTTGTGGAAAAGCAGCTTGGGTGGACCTATAAGTTGGGTAAGGCAGAGCCTCTGGAGATCTCCAAGGTATATCACACAGTTAGCCAGACTGACGGAGACTCAGATTTGGCACCATCTTGCCTGCTCTGTAGGGGGAGGGTTTAGAAAAGGGACAATGGCCTCTGTTCATCTTGATGCCATACACTTCAGTCCCTCCCTGTGTGCCACTGGTGCCGTTCAAGCTGCCGTTGGAGTCCCAGTGCTAGAGCTCAAAAGGAGTGAGTCTGAGTAGTTGAGTCTGTGTGTGTATTCTTTAAGAGGAACTGCTTGGGGCTCCAGCAGTTTCTTCCACGGACTCAATCTCCACTGGTTTTCTCAGCCAGAAGTTGTGGGGACTTATCTTCCTCTTGCTAGAATCCTGGGTTTGGAGGCCTGGTGTGGGTCTGGGACTACTAACTCCAGAGATATCCCTCCCAAATTTTTACCCACGACTGTGTGGGACCAGCCCATTCCACATCTGCATCCCACCTACCAGTCTGGATGCGTGTGGTTTCTTTAATTCCGTAGTTGTCAGACTTCCATTCATCTTGATTTCATAATTGTCTAGCTTCCATTCAGCTCAATTTCTGACATTCCTGAATAATGGTGGTTCTGTATTTTAGCTGTAATATTTATGTGGTTGTTCAAAGAGGTGAGCCATGTCTGCCTATGCTACTATCTTGACTGGAAGTCTGTCTTTAGTTTTATTTAATGCACAGTTTCTTATTCTTATAGAGTCAGTCTTAACTTATAGATATCAATCCTCTCTGCTATTTCTTCTGTTGCTTTTAAGCCTAGAAAATCATCTGCAGCCAGACAGATGAAGAATAGTAACTTTTTAAAATAATTTCATGTTTAGCATTTGACTCTTTAATCCACTTGGAATTTATTTTGATGTATAAGATCCTCTGGAAATTATCACTTAAAAAGAGCTTCTTTAAAGCCTCCTTTATACCATGGCTATACTTTCATAAGATTAAATATTTCTGGCTTCAACTTCACTCAAAGCTTTACATAATCCTGCATCTAAGACCCCTTTTAAACAAATTGTAAATGTTTTATCTTTAGCACCAAGAGGTAAAATGTGCCTTCTTCATGAGGAAAGAGATGAGGGACCTGTGGGGAATAGGAAGACAAGTAAAGTAATAGTAACATAGCATCGTTTTCTAATTTTAGGTCAAGTACTTATTTGTGCAAGCGATGACCGAACGTGTTCCCAGCTAAGAGAGTACATCACTGTTGGAGCAGAGGCCTTCTTGCTGAGACTCTACAGGAAAACTTTTGAGAAGGATAGCAAAGCTGAAGAAGTGTGGATGAATTTCAGAAAGGAGGATGGCTTGAAGAGAATTAGGAAATCTAACAAAAGACCCAAAGACCCCCGCAAAAAAGAAAGAGCTTCTACCAAAGAAAGGACTCTGAAAAAGAAAAAACAAAGGTTAACTTTAACTCAGATGATGGGGAAATCTGAAGAACTTGAAGAGGAAGGGGATGGCAAGGAAGGATATCCTGGAGACTTAGGCAGTAGCCCAGAAAGCTGCTTAGAAGAAAGTAAGCCTGAGGAGTTTGAGTTAAACTTGTCATCAGATGCTGCTTATGGAATTCTAAAAGACCCCCTCACTATCATCCACCCACTTCTGGGTTGTAGCGACCCCTACGCCCTGACAAGGGTACTCCATGAAGTAGAGCCAAGATACGTGGTTCTGTATGACTCAGAGTTAACGTTTGTTCGTCAGCTCGAAATTTACAGGGCAAGTAGGCCCGGGAAACCTCTCAGGCAAGTTATAAAGAGTATGAACTGTGTCTTAAAGGCTTCAGATTCACAGTTTTGTTTTTAATACTCACCCAAGGACATGTTTATCGATTTTAGAGGGAAAGAGAGAAACATGGTTGGCCTCCCATAGGGGCCCTGACCAGGGATCAAACCCACCACCTAGGTATGTTCATGTTCCCTGACCAGGAATTGAACCTGCAACCTTTTGGTGTCTGGGATGGTGCTCCAACCAATTAAGCCACCTGGCCAGGGCTCACAGTTCTTTAGGATTTAACACAGAATCTATACCAGTTGCATGTGGGTTTTTCTCATCTTTAACATTCTGTTGTTACAATTTTGGTTACATTTATGAAACCTTATTTTACTTTCTGATGAATCTGGGAAGTTTGCATAGGAAAGCTATCTGCTGTAGAATAACAAAGAATCCAGGGCACTTCTTGGGTTCTCATTGCCTGCTGCTCTGCTGTTTTGTACCATGTTCTTTATGCATTGGTTTGCAGCTTATGAGGTGCTCTAGGAAATTTATAAAATCCTAACTTCTCCCCAAAATTAATATAATTGTGACTCAAGTAATTTCAATCTTCTAAAATCTCCTACTTCATACATTTTAAGTGACTTTTGAGTTACATTCACATAAAACTAAAGTATTTGAGGAATTATTGTACCAAGTTTTCTTGGATTTCAAGAAATATCAGATGAAAAATCTACAGAAATAGATGAGAAAATGATCCCTCCCAAAGAATATAGTGTTCTGGCTTTGCAATTATATGACGGGAAATAAACAGCAAAATTAACATCCTGGATGCAGTCTGAACCAAAAACAGAGCCAAAAGAAATTTTTCTAGCAGTTTAACAAATGCAACCTTTCAGAGTGGAGATGAATGGAGGAAGTGGATCAGAAATAATGCAGGATAAAGAGATTAAACAAAGCTGGTAAAATAATTATAGACTGGTAAACTTTTCATTCTTTGCTATTGATCAACTTTGTAGACAGCTTGTCTGTTCTTTGTGGCCTGAGAATAAAATAGTGTGATATTTGCAAACAAAATGTCAGACTGTTGAGGGACCTGGGAGTTCAACAGCTCGCTCTATCAGCCGGGACCTGGAGCCCACAGATGGTGAGTGACTTGCCCTCAGCCACCTGGCACACTCACAGGAGCACCAGGGTCTCAGGACTCACTGTCCAGTGGTCTCTTCCCTGTTCACACCTCAAAGAACCTAGAAAGATGAAGTCTAGAGGAAAAATCAAGGGCTTTTAAAATAGGAAAATGTCCTGATAGAAGGTGAAGAAATGGGACAGGAGAGGAGCTTGATTCATCTTCTTAGCAAGAAACAAGATAGAAAAGCAGATCTTTTCTAAGATGAAAGTATGTATCAAATTATTTCTTGAGGAGCCTGATATAATCCATATGTTTTCAGTGTCTGTGTGTTTATGTAAAATGTGCGATGACTTAGTTCTGTTAAGACATGAATAAAAAGAGCTGAGAAATTACTTATGAAGATAAAGGTCATATAGATTTCATTTGTTTATTTTTCACTAACTTGAACTTTCATAAGCTGGTTTTTATTACTACTGTCCAACTTTTTAAATGTTTATTTGGCAGGGATGCAAAGAAAAATTGTAAAAAGAGAAGCCACTGAGATTTTGTGTTTTTTGACTTGTTTATAGTTATAAGGAAAGAATTATTCTATCCCTCTAGTTATATTTCAGTGTTTACCTAAACTTTGTTCCTCCTTCTGGCAAAAGAAAAGAAACCCGTGTGGTAATGAGACCTTTAACAGGTGGGGTTTAGGCAGCTTAATTTCAGTAAGTATGTGATTAATGGAACCTTTTATCTTTAGTCAAATATTTATTATTTGAGCACTACACGTTGCTGATTTAAAATGCTATGTTCTTCCTTTCAGGGATTAAAGGTTTTTGCACTCTAAAAGAGCTCTGTCTTAACTTGCAGGGTTTACTTTCTTATATACGGAGGTTCAACTGAGGAACAACGTTATCTCACTGCTTTGCGGAAGGAAAAGGAAGCTTTTGAAAAACTCATAAGGTAATACATAGATCAGTATGAAAACACAAGTTGTATTGGAAGCCTTTCAAGATCCAGAAGCTTCTCTGGGTGGGGGCATATCTCATAGCCCTCTGGAAACCACTGGAAAGATGGGGAGGGGAAGAAGTTGGAGAGGCTCACATCAAAACCAATCAGGACAAATATGAGCATGTACTTCCTTTTTCTCCCCATCTCTTCACCATGTCCAATTGCTTTCCAGTGGTTTGCTAGGATATTAGAAATGTGAGGAGAACTGCTTTTCTGCTCGTAAAGAAATAAAACTGAAACACTACTTTTCTAAGAAATATGTTCTTAAAGTTCTATCTGCTCCTCCCCCATGCATAAGATTTCTCCTGTTCCTCTGAATTATGATTTTTTTTCTCCTTGTACAGTTTTCATTGTCTGTAGGTGGGTGACTGGTTGACTGTTTACTGGGAGATGCTGTTACCTCCCAGGCAGTTCAGATCGAAAGATCGCTCTGGGAAAATATTTTTGAAAAGGTGTGACATTTGTCTGAACATATGTCTACGCTTTTGAGAATGAGTATCCTTTAATGTTCTACATCCAGATAGGAAAAGCTGTTCAGTTTAGTATAAGGAAAATGTTTTTAAGTGAGATAGTCACAAACTGGATGGCTACCTCTCAGCCCTGCAAATGTTTGAGAATCTTATAAATCCCACCAGGGATGTTGTGAAGGAAAACACAGCTTTGTGAGAGAAGATGATCTCTAAGGGGCCTCAGAAGCCAGGGCAGGGGCTGGACAGGGCATCCTTGAGCAGAGGCAGAGGAAAGGCGAACCAGAAGAGACTGTGACCTGGGCTGAGTGTGACTGGGCCATACCCATCTTCCAGGCCACAGACACTGGCACTGTATCAGTGGCAGTGAGAAGGCAGAGATCATTTTCAGTGGCAGGTAGCCTGAAATTTCAAAGTGGACAACCATCCTTCAACACTGGCTGAGGACTCTCAGCATATGCATGAAACATGCACGGCCCACACAGGGTCCCTCCCCTGCAGACCCTCTGTGATGGTGGCATGCCTTGTTGATGGATTCTTCCAGTGCCTAGTCACACAGTTATTGGTCAGTCCTTTCTGCCTATGAATATATATTTTCTCTTTAATAGTTTATTTTATTGTATTTTTTTCCATTGCCACATATCCCCTTTATACCCTGTTCCACCTCCACCTGCCCTCCTCCCCAACCTCACAATCACCACACAATTGTTCATGTCCATGAGAAAATATGTTTTATTTTTTAAAAAGATTTTATTTTTAGAAAGAGGGAGGAAGAAAGAGAAAGAGAAACATCAATGTGTGGTTCCCTCTCCTGCACCCCGTACTGGAGACCTGGCCCACAACCCAGGCATGTGCCCTGACTGGGAATCAAACCAGTGACCCTTTGGTTCGCAGGCTGGTGCTCAATACACTGAGCCACACCAGCCAGGGCAGAAAATAATTTTTCTATTAACATGCTCTGTGGAATAGTTTATATGGTATATGTGTATGTATGTGTTTTTAGAAAAAATGTTTCTGAAAGAGCTGTAACAAACAGTGTTATATAGGCTACTTGTTCTTGTCCAGAGTTTTTAGTGCCTCTCTCTGTCTTTCAGATCATTACTCTCCCAAGACTCAGTCAACAGATATTTATTGAGCATCTATTATGTGCTAAGCCCTGTGCTAATATTAAAGTGCTTAAGTTAACAGTGGTACAGAAAAAGTCTCTGCCCTCCTAGAGCTTGTCCTCTAATGGAAAAGACAACCATTAAATGATTAAGCATTGAATGAATATTATTATAAGTAGATGTGTGCAGCGTGCACCTGGCTGAAAAGGTAAAGGACACAGGTGTACTGAGAGACTGTCAAAGAGATCTAGCCCAGTGTGGCGATCAGGGGCAGCTTCACCAGAGAAGTGATATTTGGGCTGATAAATGAAGAATGTGTACTAGTTGCTGGGTAGACGGGGTCGACATGGGGGTTGTGATGAGCAAGGATGTTTGTGAAGGCTCAGAGGTGCAAGAGGGCTGCTAAGGTTTTAAGATTTGGCTCTAAAGACGATACGACACCACTGAAGGTTCTAAGTAAGAAAGTGACATCAAACCGAGGAGCAGGGAACATCATCATATGGCTATTGCGATGGTCTGATGAAAAAAGGTCATGACCAAGAGCCATTTGAAGAGAGAGGAACAGATTTAAGAGATATTTAGGAGATAGAATCAGAGAATTGGTGATACTGGATGTGGGCCAGTACCTCCTAACCATTTCTCCACTCTTTTTAAAACATCCTTTGCCTTTAGCACATAAAGCTAAAATATTCAAATTAGGCTATAGGTGTTCATGTTGAGGATCCCCAAGGCCACCGTGAGGCCCAGTGATTCACTGAAAGGACCCATGGGAATCAGAAAAACGGGTATCGCACGGTCGTGGTGTGTTACAACCACATGAGGGTACCAGTGAGAATGAGCCAAGGGAAGGAACACATGGGGCAAAAGCCAGGCACAGGCTCCTGGGTGTCCCTTCCCAGTGGAGTCACACCAATGTCTAACTCTCCCAGTGGCAGTGTGTGACAGCACACACTAAGTATTGTCTGCAGGGACACTCTCCTAAGCCTTGGGGTCCAGCGTTTTTATTGGGGGTCAGTCACATGGACACAGAGTCCCAACCTGACAGACTGCACCTCTGAAGCAAAAACTCATGTTAGCATAGAGCATCTGATCCAACTGGTACTGTGTGGCCCCAGGCCTCAGACACATGAAAACCAGGCAGAATATTCCAGGGGCTCAGAGTTCACTCCCAGAGGCTGGCCAAGGACCAGTCCTAGGAGACAGGCCTTTCTTGGGAATGCACAGGGTTTGAGCAGCCTGAGCTCTCTGAGTTAACCCTTTCCTTACACGGTGTTATAGCTTGAGGAACTGGTCAAATGTGGGGAGAAAGGCACCTGAGGATGTGAGCTTTTATGCTTGAGGCTGCCTCTTCCCCAGCACATCAGGAAACCCAACCTTAAGAAGACTACTTTTAATAGATTGTAGCAAGATGTTGGGGACTCCATGTCATTGCCAGCTTATATAAGTGATTCTGTACATCAAAGGGCTCAGTGACACAGTGTGAATAAGCCTGGCACTTACAGGAAATTGTACTCATCAGGACCCGGAATATGGACTGCCTCCTACATTTCAATCTATACGACAATTTCCATAGCTGATTTTAATGCAATTTTATCTATGGTCTGGCATAATTTTCTAAATTCTCTCAATGGTGATTGTCTACGTATTAGAAGTTAGATCTTCCCACATTACATAGCAGAGAGTTACACTATTTAGAATCTTCGGATATTTACTTTCCCAGAAAACCTGGGGAATTTGAGAAGTGTTTGTTTTGAAAAGAAAAATATATGTGAGGTGGATTGCAGAAAGACCATTTGCACTGAACCTTTACTTGGAGAAAAATTTAATGGCAGAGTCAGATAATGTGCCTTGCCAGGACCTCCATGGGTGATATTGTAAGAATAAAAGCAGTGCGACTATTTTAAATAACTAGAGAAGAATGAAGCAAGCGAGCTGGCAGTGAAAAGATTGTTTGACTGGACTGAAGATCAGTAGATTACAGATGAGTAAAGAGAAAAAAGATTGCACTTTTGAGTATTGATAATAAAATGCTCCCTAGGAGAGAAAACTTTATTACTATAGAAAAAATAATAATAAAATTGTGAGTATACATAGTTTTTGAGAGGTCACTGCTTTTCAGAGGAAGAGGTCACACTATTTGAAATGTTACAGTTAGAAAATATCATCACAGAATAGGTTAGCTTGAAGGCTTGAATAAATGCCTGTTTGAAGAGACTTCTCATTCAGTGCCTCCTCCCTTCGTTGTCTTGTACAAGCTATTCAAAGTGTCACTGAAGATGTTAAAGCAAAAATAAGAAGCCTCGGTACATTAGGTGGAAATAGGAATCTGAATTTTAAAATTATTATTTTGTGCCTATCACATGGAGTAATGAATAGTTATGCTAAACGTTGAAAGCAAGGGACTGAATATTTACAGTTGTGGCAAATTTCTGTTAAATTAGCCCTGGCTGGTGTAGCTCAGTGGATTGAGCACAGGCTCAAACAAAGGGGTCACCAGTTCAATTCCCAGTCAGGGCACATGCCTGGGTTACAGACCAGGTCCCCAGTGGGGTCCACATGAGAGGCAACCACACATTGATGTTTCTTTCTCTCTCTTTCTCCTTCCCTTCCTCTCTCTTTAAAAATAAATAAATAAAATCTTTAAAAAATTTTTTGTTAAATTAATTTGAGTTACTGTTAAGGAAGACTAAATATTTCCTTCACAATTGTGGCTTCATTTCAGTAGTACATTTTTTCTCCAATTCAATTCGCAGTTTGTTACAACAACTCATGGTAAACTAGCTATTTTATTTCACAATATTAATTGAAACAGTTGTGGGATCATTTGAAAGTAACCTTCAGTTTTTAGCATAATCATGGGTAACTGGAGGATGAGGTTGCCATAGGATAAGAAAGCACACTTACAAGAACAGCTAACCCTGTGTGGTGCTCGTTATGTGCCAGGCACTGTTCCGAGTGCCTTACCTGGCATGTGTAATCCTTATAAGAAGTCCTTTGAGGTAGGTTTTATCATTATCCCAATTTTATAGATGAAATCGAGGCACTGAGCGATTAAATGACTTGCCTAAGGCTGCACAGCCAGTAAGTGGTTTCAAATAAAACATAAAGACCATCCAGAGTCTGCACTGTAGCCATGCCGGCAAGCCACTCCCAGAGCACAGCTTAGTCAGGACACTGGAGGGCCCCGTGTACGTACATAGCCTAGTCAGTAAAGAACGGAAATGAAGAGAGAAAAAATCCCCGATGCTAACTGGAATGTTGAAGAAAAAGACATTGGAGAGCAGTAATTGTTTTGAGGGGTTGATTGGCCCCTTGTCCTTAACTAGAGTCCAGTAGACGCAAAGGAACAAAAACAAGTGGCTGCCAGAGCCAGCGCCATCGCAGAGAATTTTCCAGCAGGCAGCACTTGACGCCGGTGTTGAGAGTAAGGAGGAAAAGTGGAACTGGAACTGTGGACTTGTGACCTATGTATAAAATGTTGTATCGAATATAACTGTGTATTTGTATATTGTTTCAAATTGTATAGAAATTGAAATTATATTTTCTATTCATTAGTAGTATCATTTAATGGTGCCCTGCTCCAAAACTTTATCATCCAGCGTGGTTGGAGACTTGGTCCTTCTGGTTTCATTTCCTTCCATTGGGAAAATCTTTGTTGTTTGAACCCTTGTTGAGAGTATTAGTTGATATTGAAGATTTGTCTTCTGTTTCACCCTACCCTAGTCTCTTATTGCAGTTTATTCTACATCTCCTCCCCGCCCCATGGTTTCCTCAACTCAGTTGCAAGCCATACAAGGGAAGAGAGAAGCCTTATACATCTCTCCTGTCGTGCCTTGCACTGACGACACACAGTACTTGCCACCTCATGAATTGAATGTAACATGCTTTACTGGTTTTGAAAAATAAGACTATAGCAAACCTGGCTTACTCTTTCTTTGGTTTTGGGCAACCTTGTCACAGCGGTAGCTCCTGATTACAGATCTTCGTCATGACCGTGTAGTCCTGTTGATCTACAGGTGTGAGGTGCTGAGCTGCCTCGAAGACAGGAGTCACCATGTCACCATGTTTGGGTGCAGAGTGCCTGGCACAGCACATGGGGGCACTCCCTAGATGTTTTTAAATACGTGCACCAGTGACCGAATCAGTGCTGCTTAACCTGAGGTGTTGATTTTTTATTGTTGTTTAAATCTCTGCCAGAAATTTGCTTTCTTGAATTAATCATGATTTTCCTTGAAAATTGAGAGTGTTTAATGGAGTTTTTAAAATCAAAGTTCTATCATGTATGTTTTCATTTTCTAAAATTGATTTTTAACATCCCTATTTATGATTACCCTGAAAATATTGGAATATAAATGATTTAAATTATTTTTAATGCTCAATAACACATTAGCATGCTCTTATAAAAAGTCTCAATGATCTCTCTGCAACATTTTTTACATGCTCACTTCATGGCTGAACGTGTTTGAAGGACATATAGAATAGAAAGCGAACAGCAGCCTTTTTAACCCTGGGCAACAGGAAGTGGTACCCAGCTAAACGTTCCCTCTGGTGCCCATCACTTGTCTGGGCATATCGACCTCTAACGTATTTCTTACACTTTCTTTTACTGCAGTGGCCACGTAGATCACTTTTTATATTATAATTTGCAAAAGTTGTTTAAAATGGTTTTTTTTTTTCTTTTCTCCCAGGGAAAAGGCTAGCATGGTTGTCCCTGAAGAAAGGGAAGGCAGAAATGAAACAAACCTAGACCTGGTAAGAGGCTCTGTGTCTACAGGTGTTCCCATCGACTCGCGGAAAGCAGGTGAGTCCCACCCTCCTGTTGCTAGTTCCAGAGTTTATGTGCAGAGACTTGGTTTTTCTCAACAAACTTAAAAATGGGTGTCTGCTCCAATGCCCTAGTCTCAGCTCTGCCATTTATTAACCATGGGTCCTTCCTGAGTCTAACTAAGGCTTTTCACCTGTAATGTAAAGGGAGTATATTTGATGCACCCAGCTTAGAAATTAGTTCTGTTCCAGCATTGCTTTTAGTTGTGGTTGGTTGAGACTCTAAATGTACTTTTGCAAAGAAACTTTTGTAAATAGTGATTAGGTTCTTATCTTAACTGGAAGAAGCCAGTTTAACCAGAGATAATAGATAAGAGTTATTTAGGTACCTTCCCACTTGCCTTTCTGGATTTGTTTGTTGCTCCTTGGCACTTTTCCAGGAGTGTGGTGCTCTCCTGTCTTGCAGTACGTGAACTGTGGTAGACCACCAAGACCTGCTGAACTCCAAGCACATTGTGATCGAGTAATAACCATTTCCTCTTCCCCATATCCCATTTCCCTGTAGCAACAGCTGAGATCAGCCAAGTGACATGAGAAAAGCAATATGATTGAATTGATGTAACCTTTGATAGGGCCAAGCACAGTTAGAGCAGTGGGTCTCAGAATCTAGTGTACCCAAGAATAACCTCAGATGCTTGCCCAAACTGTGGATTTATAGACCTCAGTCAGTAGACATACCAATTCAGTAGATCTGAAATGGAGTCAGCGTCTCAGGGGCTTCTGGTGGAAGTGGTCCTTGGATCATCCTTTGGGAAACAATGCCTCAGAGCATCTAGGTCTTTTGGAATAAAATTCCTATTAACTTGAACAGGTTGCTGACACTTCATGCAGAACACTTCAGAATGTAAGGCAGTATGAAGGAAGAAAGACCTGAGTGTGCAGCTACCACTCAGAAAGCTACTCAGAAGTCTGTCCTGTGAGTTCAGTCCTCTAAGCCCTATGTTAGTTTCCTATGGCTGTTGTAACAAATCACCACTTAGTATCTTGAAACAACGCACATTTGTTATGTTACAATATTATCTTACAATTCCAAAGTCCAGTGGGTCTCCAGGCTAAAATGAAGGTGTTGGCAAGCCTGTGTTCCTCCTGGAGGATCTAGGGGAGAGTCCCCTTCCGTTCCAGGTTTGGAGGCTGCCTGCATTCCTTGGCCCCCTCAACCACCTTCAAAGCCAGCAGTTCCAACTCTAACTTTCCTACTTTTCTCTTTCACGTATAAAGACCCGTGGGCCCACCTGGATAATCTGAAATAATCTCCCAATCTTAAAATCGGTAATTTAATTATATCTGCAGAGTCCCTTTTGTCATGTAAAGCCACATATTTGCAGGTTCCCAAGATTAGGACATGGACATCTTTGTGGGCCATCATTCTGCCTACTTCAGCCCTTGTACAGCCCTTAAGCCAAAAGCACTAGCATCCCAAGAGCTCATTAAAATGCAGTCTTAGACCCTATCCCAGACTAAATGCAGGGGTTGGCAAAAGGTAGGTTCACAGGTGTAATACAAATGAATACAATTATTAATAAATAATAATATAAGAATGAACTCTATTTTGTGTACTCACAGCTATAAACCTACTTTTGCCCACTCCTCTTTACCATATGATTTCACTTATATGTGAGATATGAAACAGAAGGTAATAAATGAAAAAACAAAGCAAACTCATAGACACACACAATAGTATGGTAGTCAGCAGAGGAAAGGGGGTCGGGGGAGGGGCGGGAGGGTAGAGGGCACACATGGCGGCAGAGGGCTCTAGACTTCGGGTGGTGAGCACACAGTGCAGCGCACAGATGTGTGTCATGGAGTCATACACCTGAGACTTGCATACTGTTATTGAGCAGTGCCACCCCAATAAATTTAATTTTTGTGAAAAAAAAAGAGAAATCTGGGTGGTAGGAATTAAAAAAAAACAAGAAGAAGAATCTTCTCTTTAACATAACCCTGGAAGATTCACATGCACATCAGAGTGTGAGAGCTCTGTTTTATAGCGTTTTTGTTTTTCCTGCCTCCTTCCATTTTCCCATCTCTGGACTCATTGATCACAAGCACTCAAATATTGGTACAAGCACTCAAAGTTCCAAAATTGTTCACAACAGCTCATAAGGTGATTTATACAGCAAGCATTTTTAGGCAACTACTGTGTGCCAGGCTGTGTCCTAGGAATTGGGAATACAACGATCAGTAAAATGGGGTCAGTACAATGGCAAGGGACTATAGGGGAACTACAGAGGGAAAATTATAGCGAAATGCTGGTATTTATGGATCATTATAAGTAAGGAACCACCCATTAGTTCTAATTTTCCTACTAGTTCTATGTAGTTGAAGAGAAATTGCCTTTATTTACTCTGTATATAGCCTTTTTGAAAATAGAGGAAAATATGGAAAAAGAACACAGTATTTTGGAACCATGCATCATAGATTAACAATAGAAACATAATTTTAAACTTTAATTGTTATATTTCATCTTTGCAAGTTGTTCCTCAGTGACAGTACTTAAAATGCTTTTTCTTAATAGGTGGCCAGGAGCAGAAAGGCACACAGCAGACGATCGTAGTGGATATGCGTGAGTTTCGAAGTGAACTCCCATCTCTGATCCACCGCCGGGGCATCGACATCGAGCCAGTGACCTTGGAGGTTGGAGATTACATTCTGACTCCAGACATGTGCGTGGAGCGCAAGAGCATCAGTGATTTGATCGGCTCCTTAAACAACGGCCGCCTCTACAGCCAGTGCATCTCTATGTCCCGTTACTACAAGCGCCCAGTGCTTTTGATCGAGTTCGACCCCAGTAAGCCCTTCTCTCTCATTGCCCGAGGTGCCTTCCATCAGGAGATCTCCAGCAACGACATTAGTTCCAAACTCACACTCCTCACCCTTCACTTCCCCAGACTCCGGATCCTCTGGTGTTGCTCCCCTCATGCCACCGCGGAGTTGTTCGAGGAGCTGAAACAAAATAAGCCACAGCCTGATGCAGCGACAGCCATGGCTGTTACCGCAGATTCTGAAACCCTCCCTGAGTCAGAAAAGTATAATCCTGGCCCCCAGGACTTCTTGTTAAAAATGCCAGGGGTAAATGCCAAAAACTGTCGCTCCGTGATGAGCCATGTTAAGAACATTGCAGAATTAGCAAGCCTGTCACAAGACAAGCTCGCAAGTATCCTGGGGAACGCTGCAAATGCTAAGCAGCTTTATGACTTCATTCACACCTCTTACACAGAGATTCTGTCTAAAGGGAAAGTGAAAAAATGAACAATGGTGGCTGTTTTCCTACCCCGTGACTGTGCTTTTCAGCTGTTCTTTGCCAGCCATAATAGATCGTTATTAATTATTAGCTCAGCATCTCATTCTCTTCCAGTGTTTTTAATGATTGTGCTGTTTCCTAGTTGAGTGGATCAGAAGCTAAGGTTCCTCCCTGAACTTTGCATTCAGACATCTTTTCTGACTTGCCTGTGCCCGGTCTCCTCCCTTCCTGTGCCGGCCATGCCAGGTGTGTGTGTTCAGTTTTTAAGCAAGGTGTGTCAGGATCAGGTAATGTTTCTGTAAGTGCTTACAGAAGGCCGCTTTGGAGACAGCCAAAGTTTGTCTCCTACCCAAACTGATAAAACACACAATCAGTTGTGTCCTCACCCTCTGTCCACAGAGATACCCCGGAATACTGAGGAGGAAACGTCTCTTTGCCATTCCCCACCAGTTTCTCTCCTCCACATCTTTGTCCATGGCGTACTTCTCCCACCTCTGAGAAAACTGCATGGGGACTGCCGCCTGATGAGCTAAGACAGCCACCTCTGAAACTGGCTGGTTGATTTCCTAGACACCTGAATAGATGTCAGTGTAGCACTCCATATCATTCAAAACCAGCATTTTTAAAACATAAAATGAATTGCCTATTTATAGAATTTAATGCTGTAGTTGAGGAACCCTCAGAATTCTCTGTTTTTACTGTGATATTTAAACTCCTAAAGATTTGGTTTTCCTTCCTTGAGACAAAAAACTGTAAATATATGGAAAATCAATGCATAGATTATATAAAAATTCTAAAGAAATATATACGTATTTAAAAATTCATAAAGAAAACAATCTCATTCTAAACCTGATTGATCTCATTTTGCTCTTTACTGGTGTGTATGTACGGGACATTCAGAGCATCTCTGTGCAGTTTTTAAACTTTTATACTTAAATATTATTAACTTAGGTATTATGCACATACTTAGCAATGAGTGGCAATTTTTCTACCTCAAGAGCTGATGTAGACGTCTATTCCGAGAGCCATACCACACAGCTGGGTGCTCCAGCGGTGTCAACCGTGCTCTCATTCCACACAGCTAAGCCTAGCGGAGACCGTGGGCCCTGGAGCACAGACATGGTCGTCAGCTTCCACTCACGTGCTTTTAACTGTCCTCTCCAGACTGAGCCATACTGACACCTCGATTTCTTGGTATGTTAACGTATGTTAATACAGTTAAAGTGTATGTGGGTTTTGAACTCTGTACAGAATGCTGCCAGAATGGGTTGAGGGTTATCAAAGAGCCCCGTTGGTTATTGTAGAACTCTGTACAGTGGTTTGGAGGGTAGAGAAGAGGACAAGAAACAGAAATTAGTTTAAGATAAAGATTTGAGCTACCCACAAATTTTGTCCCAGGGTTAGAAATATACCCTTGACAATAGAAAACAAAAATGTCAGATACGTTTCACTTTTGTATGTGTTTCTTTATCTAAGACTTCAACTGTAATTAAAATTGCATTCAAAAAGGCATACCACCTGCCCTAACTGGGTGGTTCAGTTGGCTGAGACTCTGATACACTAAAAGGTCACAGGTTCAATCCCCAGTTGGGGCGTGTATAGGAGGCAGCCGATTGATATTTCTCTCTTACATCTCTCTCCCCCCTGCTCTAAAAAATTAGTAAACATACCTCAAGTGAGGATTTTAAAAAAAGGCATACCACCTCAGTCACAGTTATTATCATTTTTCTTCACACTATTCTAGCACTTCCACTTGAGATATGTAATTTCTATTATTTTTGTAAAACTACCAGTTTAAACAATCCTAGTTACTAGTACAACAGCAACAACAGTGTAATTGTATTCAGAAAGCCAGCGTCCTCTGGCTCGAATGTTGTTACTTGCTGCTGTACTTAGTGGACATTTGAAGAGAGGTGCACAATCTCGTGTGTGTTTGAATTATGAGTGATATTTGCTAATGGACTCTTAACACGGTCCTTACAGATGAAAGACTCTCACTGCCATTTCCTCTTCCAACTAAATATGCAGGGTCTGGCACAAATAATGCTCCCTTTTCATTACAAAACCATAAACATGTAACTCTATAACATAACAATATCACGCTCAAGCACACTATTGACATTTTAGGTGAAATGTTCAAATTAAGACTATAAATTACTGCACCATATTATTAGCCTACCAACCACACTCAAGCAGGCCTCACTTCTGCCAGACCCTGTGTGGATATTTCAATGTGTCTCCAGTTGTGGAACCCTTTAATACAACCATCATTTACTTTCATTGAATATTTTTACAAATTTTTACAATCTTTGGCAGAACTAGAAATGCACAGTTGAAAAATCACTTAATTTTCTAGCATAACTTTGTTAGTTTTGCCTCTTTTAAAATCATAAATATCCAATATACATATGAACTCATGCTTAACTTTTTAACTTTTTTTAAAAACTGGAGATCAGTATTATTCTACTTTATAAGTGTTTTACATAAAAACTTGAGCATATGGGATACTGTGAGAAATTGTTTGTTTTGTTTGTTTAAATTACTGTGCCTGTCTTCATATTTCTTAAAATTATACAAGAAGAAAGCATTTTTAATACCGGCCATAAGTAATGTCCTTTTGGCAGTAAGTTGCTATTTCTCCATTCCGAGGCTTAGACTATATGGCTATGTGTGTTTTCGTACATCCAGAATGCAACTTCCCAGCTCCCAAAAGACTAAAAATAATTGTCCCATTCCTCAGTCCATCGGGAACATAGAGGGTTAAGTCGAGATTTGATCGTTCTGACAATATAAAGTTAACAAGTGGCCTTGGGCAGGAAAACCTGCACTGAAGCAGATCTGGACAAGTGGGTGGGGCGAAGAAGCAGCAGTACTAGTCTCCACTTTTGTTTTTCAAGCTTAATTTGATTTTCCTTTGGCTCAGAAAACTCTTTAGGGAAATTGCCTTCTCTTTGGTGTTCAGTTTAACCTAGAAATGTCCTCTTAAAAACCAACATTGTAGGAAAATTCTTTTCTCAGGCTTGAGTATATGAAAACTTACCCAGACTTCCGCACAAGTTGTCATTTTTCTTCATTATTTCACTTTGTAATTTGGTTCATAGCTCTTTCCTGATTGATTCTCAACTTCAGTACTTAACTTACCATCTTTATCCATAGGTTTTTGGTGGCCTACAGCACCGGTGTTGGTTGGTTTAAGGGTGTATGTAAGCCAAAATTTGGATGGGCTGGAGACATAACTGATTTATATCAATTTGTAACAGTTTGTGTGTTTTTAATAAAATGTATATTTATTCAGTATTTTCCTCAGCATTCTGTGGGTGAACTAAAAATAACAATGTATACTTGAAAGGACATAAATTCCCAATGCTTTATATTTACCATTGTGTTATATATAATTTTTAAAACAGAATATTTAATTTGGCTACTTTTTTGTTCTGCAGAGTAAGTGATTAAAGATGAACTGCTCTTTGAACAACTGCTATTGTGTTTGATGTGATTGGTAAATCCAAAATCTAAGGCTTTAGTATATTTTTCTTTTGGTGGTTTTTTATTTTGTAGCAGTTCTTTTCAAGGAAGAAAAAAACTATTCTCCTGAAAATACTCATTTGTTGACAAGTAATGAATATGTGGTGAGCAGAGTGCCTGGGACATCTTAACTCAACACAGATTCATCTCCTACCATCCCGACTCAGATGTTTTTGTTCCTTCAACTTCAAAGTTGAAAGAAGTGAATTATCATTTTGACACATCTAGAATCTATTGTAATCCCTTAACAAGTTTAATTATTAGTTAACTAATTGGCTCATTTCCATGATTTAATTATTGTTGCTTCTGCTTTAAAATATAGAACCAAATCCCCTTTTAACAAGGCATAAGATAGGTTATTTCTCAAAATGTTCTAATGTTGTAATAAAGACTCTCCTAGAATAATGAACTCTTTTTTTAATAGTAGTGACATAACTCACATTCACTGCGAGCTTAAGCGTTCCCATTTAATCCTCATAACAAAACCGTGAAGGTGCTGCTATTTAAAATCCTCTTTACTCTTGTGCAACTGAGGCCTAGAGACATTAAGTGATTTGCCTGTTGATGGAAACACCACCTGAACCCAAAAGTCTCACTCCAGAGTCCACGGTGAAACACTGGGGATGAGTGGCGGGAGGAGGGAATGGGAGACTGGTTCGTGTCCACTTTTATGTGTCTAATTACAGATGTGTCATAGAAAAAGCAAATTGGTTTGCTTCCACACAGCTCAGTTAATAGTTTTAAGAGCAAGTATGCAAAACTTGGAAGGAGGTCAAAGAGAATACTGAGTAACCTCTCCATGAAGAACTGGATGTTGTTCAGTGGTCTGTGCCTCCTGGGGATTATCTGATTTTCTAGGGCTGTAAACCTTTTGTTGACTGATTAGGAATGCCATTTTGCAACTTTATAAGAATAGACAGGTTAACCTGTAGAAAACCCACATAGCAAAACAGGTAACCCCCAACTTTTCGAAAGTTTACATTATGCCCCTTCCCTTTTACAAAAGTTCATAATACTGCTTTCATTCGCCGAAAGAAATCCAAAGAGGATTTTTCTCTATTTAGGGAAAAAGACAAAAATAGCATTTAGCATTTGTTTTGCAGCAAGTTATTATAGAGGCAGTGAGCACCGGGAGTGGAGGGCGTGGCCCTGTCCAGTTCCTGCCCCCAGGAACCATACTCCGCATCCAGCCCCCACCGTTTTAAACAATGTCTGTGAGCACCTGAACTTTGTCTGGATCTATTTTGTGCATATTTTATCAAGACAAGTCCTTAAGGTGTCAGAAAAGCCTAAGACAGCTTGTGAGGGTCTTGTACTTACTATAAAACTGGACGTGATTAAGCATTTTGATCACTCTGAACAAAATAAAGACATTGTACCTCTGTTGAATATGGGTCTGGGGATGCTCAAAACTTTTTCCGTATATTATTAATGGTATTTGCTTCTTTGCATCATGCCGTTTGGCTTACAAAAGCTTTCGTGGGAACACTCTGCCTTCAGATGGCAAGGGACACCTGCACAAGGGGCTCCTGTCCGGTGGCATCACAAAAGTTACTGCCAGTGGGACAGGAGTCAGTTCTGTATTTCTATCTCTGCATTCCTTGACTGACCAACTATGAATCTCTGGATCCCTGAATTTTCTTTTGAATCAGTCTTAACATCTTATTGCCTTCCTCATTAATTGAATCAAATAAAATCTTTGACTTTCTTAATATTTGTATGAGAGTCATGTCGTGACTTCTTGAAAATTATACTTTGCAAGTGGTATTGGCAACATGAGCTCCCATATAATAATAAAATCATATTTCCAGCCTCATTCATCCTAAAGGTGAAGCTTGTAAACTAGAAAATGGATTATATATTATATCCACATGTATATATATGAACTGTACTCTGATGCTCAATATTAAGGACTATAAAGATCTCATTATTAAAAACTAAAATGGATCAACTAAGAACTATGGCATCATTTTAAGATGCTGACTGTGTGGACCCATTTTTCATTTTGTTTTCAAAAGCAAAATGGAATATTTAATCTGAGTTGTTTTTTTCTGCGTAGCCATTAACTACCAGTGTTAAAGAGACTGACTCATGAATGAGAAAGACAAGGAATTTTAGATATCCCCAAGGATCTGTTTACATGACGAAGATGTTTGTACATCGGAACAGCACTCCTTCCAGGCCCAGGAGACAGGTAAACAAAACCAAGTTGTGATCTCAACCACGGGGAGTTTCGAGGGATTCATGAAAATGGTAAATAAACCAGGTCCAAGGAAATGGTGGCATCCTACATCTGAGAAGATGGTATTTAGAAAGAGACACTTTCTGTAATTATGAGCTCCAGGATGTGGTGTTAGTGAGAGAATGCCCCTTGCTGACTAAGAGATTTGCTTCCCCATGCAGTTTCTGTGGAGCGTGATGCTCAGCAGAGGCCTCGGGGAAAAGGTGGTTGAGCAGGCTAAGGGAGTCGTGACTGGGCAGGTTTGTTTCTGGCAGGAGGCAGTCATTGCACAGGGCAGAGGGCTCTCTGGACTGGAGGCTGCAACAGTCCCTGCCCTCAAGGGGCATACAGTCTTACAGTGAACACAGGAGTCACACAGAGAACGCGAGCGAGCGGGACAATAAAAACGCCCCAAGAGAGGTGCAAGTGAGTGCTCCGGAGGTCAGAGGAAGATGTCACAGCCAGTCGTAGGAACAGGAGTGGCCTCGGAGAGAAGGTGGGATTCAAGGCGAGTCTTAGGGAACAGCCAGTATTTCATCAGACAGAGATGCAGGCCCGTGTACTTCATTCCAAGTCCAGAGACTTAGCGAAGAAACAGGTGGGAAATAGAACAGTGGTGTTTAGAGAAAGAGTCGTGAACGTTAGAATTGGAGCAGTATATGGGCCACACTGTAGGAATCTCTTAAATGCCAGGCTTGAGGAATTTGCTCTTATTTCAGTAGGAACAAAACAAAACAAGTGTTTGAGTAAGGGAAAGATGTGATCCAGAAGTCGGCTTTAAAACTTTGATCTGGCAGTAGTGAGTTTGAAATGGAAAGGAACTAATCCTAACTGAGCACTTAGTGGGTGCCAGATATTTTATGTGTGTTCCTGCACTAAATCCTCACATCTCCAAGTAGGGATTAAACCTGCTTTACGGATGAGGGGGCTAACACTCTGAGAAATGAAAAATTAAAGCCATAGTTGAAATAAATAGCAGAGGAGTGGCTCAAACTCCAAAGCCTACTTTCATTCTACCACACCTTACTACCTGGAAGCAAGGACTGGAGGTGAAAAGACCACTTCAGAAGCTGTTGTGTTGTAACAATCTAAGCCATAGGTGATGACAGCCAGAACTGAGATTACAGCTTTGAAAATGAAAAGAAGGACATAAAGAAGCATTAAAGGACAGTCTATGGGATGTGGCAAAAAAAAAAAAATGCCTAAGAAGAGTCTGAATTAACACCAAGCTTTTAAGCCTGGGTTCAGAAAATGATGGTGCTCTTTACAGAAACAGTCTGGAGAGAAACCGGATTGTGTTGGGAAGAAGATTAAGTTCCATTTTATCAATCTGATTTGGAGATCATCAATAGTCAGGCGGATAGTCTCAATTTAAGATGTAGTAGACATCTGAATAGAAGTGAGGATTAAAGACATCAGATAACTGAATAAAGCAAAGAAATACGAAGCAGACAGAACTTTAGAAAGAGCCTAAATTTAGAAGGTGAGAGGATAGAGGAGACAGACTATTAGAAGAAGATTGTGAATCATGCAACAACCAGGATCAAAAACAGGAGAGAATTTCAAGGGAGTGACTCACAGGACTGGGAGCTGAACAGTATGAACACTAGTGCCTCACGATTCAGCAATGCAGAGAGATCTCGGCTCTCCTGGGTGGCGGTCCAGGGGGCCCATGGGTGCACGCCCGGCTGAGGGGCTGAGGAAGCCATGAAACAGTGCAGATGCAGAAACGAGAATGGGCGAGCCGCATGTCAAAGGTGATTTTGTTTGCTGATGATCAAGAGGAGAGAACACAGTGGGGTGAGAGAAGGAAGCTGCTAGGGAGAGAACAGATAATTAATGGAACCAAAACCCAGTGCTGGGGGTGGAGGAAAACAAGAATGGTTTTGCTTTCCTACCTTTCACATCAACAGAAAACCTGGTTTTGTATTGATTTGTCTCTTCTGAAACACCAGCATTCCTAGTACCAGGTACCTTTAACTTGGAACCGAACTGGTAAGTCATAAGCAACACTGAGCCTTTCTCTGAAGCTTTCTATTTTAACAACAGAATGCTGCTGTTTGGCAGTGAGGCCTGCTTGTGTTTAAGCTGGTGGAGAGCATGGCCTACAACCCTTCAGTCTGTAACCTGGCTGTATAGTTTTAGTATTATTTAAAGTATCCCTTTCAGCAATTTATGAAACCAAAATAAGTGCTGGCTAACATCCTCTGGAAACTGAAAGTCAACATTCAGCAGCTCTCACTAGCTAATCCTAAAACTTGGTACGGATTTTTATTTTGGTCTACTCAGCTTACTGTAACCGGGGTGGCTGAGTTGCTATGGTGATTTGTTCTCAAAACAGCCCTTTGCCACACTCCGTTGAAACGGCAGATGAATCTGTTTCGTGTTGACTTGATCATGACATTGATGCGCGCTGAAACGTCCCCCACACTCCCGTCAGGACTTGTGTGTAGGACTTTCAAATCGGTGCCAAGAAGACTTTGGCTAAAAGAACCACAACTTTGGCTTTTTAAACCTGGGCCTTCACAATTCGTGCCATTGAATACTGTCGGCTCACAGCCCAGAGCTCTACTGCGGGGGAGCGGGGTGTAGGGGTAGGAAGCGGGTTGCAGCTGGGGAAGGTTCATCGTCGAAGCAATTATGTGGTTAATTACTCCAGTGTGGGCATAGCCAGAAAGTTACGAATCACGCCTCATTCTGTCACTAACAATTGGGGTGAGGGGGGACAGGATG